GTGTGTGTGTGTGTGTGAAAATCCCATAAAGAAAATTTTTACAAGTGGAAGTAGTTTTAGCTTTGATTTCGCAACAAGTGTAAAAAAAAATCGGTCAGATTGGAATAGATTTTAAAAAACAACATGATACACAAATATAAAAAGCAACACTAGTTTATAGCCCATTACCAAACAATGATCATGTTCAAGTTATTTTTCAATTCTTGTCTTCCATTCATCTACCTGATCAGCATTTCCATCATAGTCCCAGAGCGGTGCTAGGGGCCCAGAATGGTGTGTAAAAAGTTGAACATTTTGAACGCACTTTAGAGCTGACAGCTGAAGAGGAAATCCAGCACTCTGAGAATAAAGCTTCCCCCAGGAACTTCAGGAACAACCCAGCTGTTGTACTGTAGTAGCTGTGTGTCAAGAGAGCAAACGGAAAGCAGCAAAGACTCACCTAGTGAACACGCAGGAACAGTGTAGTGGAACACTGACATAAAACTTCACTCTTCATACCACCTTAGCTCATCCAGCCCTTATCATACACGTCACATACACTTGAGTATACACATGTATGTATGTTTGTGTATACATTCACACATACATATATGAAGGGGCTTCAAAATGTTTGTGGAAATATGGAATTGAAAGATAATGGGAATTTCTTACTTTTTGAAGCTTCCATGTATGAAAGTATGTGTGTGTATACATGAAGGGGGCTTCAAAAAGTTAATGGAAAAACTCTATTATCTTTCAATTCCATTTTTTTCTATGAATTTTTTGAAGCCCTCCTCCACACCCCATGTATGTGTGTGCATGTGTGGTCTTCGATTCTACATTAAGATTTTTTTCTTTCTTCGTTTAAATGTTTTTCTTCAGACTTTTGGTGGAACACTTATCAAAACAAGTTATCTATGGACAAAGCAAATAAAAATGGCTGAAGAGAGAGATATGTAAATTAGTATAAAGTATGAAATGCCTACTGTTTGCTTGTACCCTTCTTTGCCCTTCTTCTCCTGACCAATCAGGTCCAAGTAATCATTACTGGCTGCTAAACTTCTCTGGGGAAATCAAGCAACTCTCTAGACTTGCAGTAATCAACGACAATTTCTTGCAAAAACATGTGTAAAGTAACTAAAGAATGAAGTAGTCACTCGAAGAAAGGAACTGGTAACACGTGTAAGGTGGAAAACAGATGATAAAAGTCTCTTTGGTGCCATTCAATTATGGCATCAGCAGAAACACAAAAATCCTTCCAATTATTTCAGTAAAATCTTCATTTATTCGTTATTTCAGAGGCTGAGCAAATGGTTTGTGTAAACATCTCCTTCAGTAACACGCACATGTTTATTTTAGCCATCTGAAGGCTTCTTCTATGTTTATATAAGCCAGCAGACACATACAACCACTCACTTGTGGCTTTGCGTTTTCTTGAAAGGGGTGAAGGGGGAGAAGAAAGAATGAAACAATAAATTCAGTTTCTCTTTTGCATAAAGTATCCCTCCAACATTCTAAAATAACTTATGTTTATATTATTCTTGGATTGTCTTTGGGCTTTCTTTCTCATTCAATTATGTTACTCTTTCATATTTGATAGAACAAGCAATGTTCTGGTTATGGTGTCAAGAAAGAAAGCTAGTTAAGGAGTAACTGCTGTGTGTGTTTATACCCACATAACTCACATAAGCAACAAGGTGATTTATCCACCTAGGAGGACAAAACACAAACACAACAGTACTTAGCCCCAGCAATTCATCACCTATTACCCCCAAGAGCTGAGCCTCTCCTGACTGAAGTGAATGCGCCCTTAACCAACAGGGGATTTCACTCCGGCTAACTGCACGACCAGAAATTGCACTTAGACAGGAAAATGCACTTTTTCAAGGTGCAAGCAGCTCCTTCACATGAGCACACGACAACACACACACATAAATCCACAAACGGATCACAAAACTCTAAGGTCAAAATAACAAAGAACCTTCAGGGTTGCAACCTGTGAAAACTTTCCAGAGGAGTCAGCTTTGCTTCTTCTGGGAATGTTTATACGTTGTGGGGGGAGACAGAGTCGGGTGGAAGAACTCTTCCAGCTTTGGTAACAGTTACACAGCGCCCTGACCACGGCGATTTCCAGTTCCCCGGAAAGGAGCATCAGACAAGGTGGTGACCATGGACAAGTGACCGTGTGAGGACAGTATCGGCCACAAGCAGCACACAATCAGGGCAAAGGAAAGCAAAACGACACTGAAACACTCACTCTGCTCTGTCCTTTTCTAGGACAAAGTCTTCAGGTACAAAGTAACCCAGAGTATTTTCCTTATGTTCTTTGGACAAAGAGGATTTATTTAATTCTCTGGTTGACTAGCTTGACATTTCTCAGATAGTTTCCATTTTTTCATGTAATCCCAAAGCTATAACATTACCTGAGATTTTAGACATCTATTATCTGTCTTTAAAACAGCAGTATTAAAAACAACAACAGACATTTCCATTTCCATTTCTTAAAAACAAGAACACTATGTTAAAAAAGACACAAGAGATCAACTATGAATAAAGCTACTGGAATGTAACCACAACTTAGTGTTATATCAAATATGCATTCAACTTGTATCCATTTTTGAAAACTATCACTAAGTATCTCAAATTGCTATCTTATTCATAGCATATATTTCATATATTTGAGAATACTGATTCTGAATATGACATCGATATAATCAGCTCAGGCATCCTGGTGTGTCACTGTTGGATAAGCTCAGGACTGCAGGGTCCCTTTGAACCACAAGGTCAGCAGTTCAAACTCACCAGCTGCTCCACTATGATTTGGAACTGAGTTGATGCCACTTAACAACAACAACAACAACAACACATTCAACTTAGTGTCTTCTGAACCAGGAAGGAAAGAGAAGAAACAGACCAAAAACTACCAAAGCTACCATCCTATGAACTTCTGAAGTACTGGTGGCATTCTATACATCAACTGTATGCTAATTAGAAGAAAAATTACTGTGCTTGGGAAGGGGGTGACCCGGGGTAATCTTAATTAAATAAATATTGATTTTTTACTGACTGACTTTTACCTGAAACTGCTTACCACACCAATTTTTCACCAAGGAGATTTAGAACATGAACAATGCTTTCCTAAAGAATGAGTTTAGTCATCATACTGATTCAATAAGATATGCGTGTTGTGTGGGGATTCAGTACCCACTCATCTTTTTATTTTGGGGTGTGTCAATGTTTAACTCAAAATTTAATAGGCGTTAGCTACAGTTGTATTTATATATCCCACATAAATTTGGAAACCATCTCAAAAACAGATTTGATGCCTTAGACACTAAGGACTGAAGGCCAGTAGAGTAGTGGATGGCATCAAGAATATCGTAAAAGAAGAGAGCAAAAGGTCATTAAAAAGACAGAAAAAAAGACGAGGCCAAATAGATGTCAGAAGAGACTCTGAAATTCACATGGGTAGAGAAATGTAAGAGAATGGAAGAAATAAGGACGTAAAAGACCAGAACAGAAAATTTCAAAGGTCAACTCAATAAACCAAAGATTATAATGAAATGTGCCAAGATCTGAAGTTAGAAAACCCAAAGGGAAGCACATGCTCAGTATTTCTCAAGCTGAAAGAACTGTAGAAGAAACTCGAGCCTCAGCTGGATATGGGCAGAAGGAATCCTGGTGTGGTTTCTATGGATTAATGCGTTAGACTGCATAGTTGGCTTGAACCTCAATGTCAGCAGTTCTAGCTCACCAGCTGCTCCTTTGAAACCCAGTGTCACTATGAGTTGGAACTGGCTTGATGGCACTCAACAATAACAATGGGCAAAATATTGAATGATGGAGAGAGTATCAAAAGAAGATGGAAGAAATACGGTCACTGTAACAACAATAACAACAAAACAGTCAATGTTCAATCATTTCAAGAGATATCATATGATCAAGAATAATGGTATCATATGATCAAGAACGAAGGAAGAAGTCCTACCAGCACTAAAGGCTCTGGCAAAAAAACAAGGCACCAGAAATTAACGGAATACAAATTGAAGTCTTCCAACAAATTGATGCAGGCCTGCAGGTGCTCACTCATCTATGCCAAGAAGTTTGGAAAACAGCTACCTGGCCAACTGATTGGAAGAGATCCATATTTGTGCCCATGTCAAAGAGAGGAGACCCAACATAATGTGCAAACAACAGGACAGTATCATTAATATCACATGCAAGTAAAATCATACTGAAGATAATTCAAAAACAATTGCAGCAGTACATTGACTGGGCACTACCAGAAATTCAAAATGGATTCAGAAGAGGGTATAAACTAGAGATATCATTGCTGACATCAGATAGATATTGACTGAAAGCAAAGAATATCAGAAAAATATCTACTTGTGCTTTATTGACAATGCAAAGGCACTGGACTATTTGGACAATAACAAATTATGGATAATATTGCAAAGAATGGGTATTTTTCAGAAAGCTTAAGTGTGCTCATGGGAAACTTGACCAATAGGAATTCCTTTGAATAGAACAAGGAGACACTGAATGGTTTTAAATCAGGAAAGGTTTGCTCCTTGACTGAATCCTTTCACTATATTTATTCAATCTGTATGCTGAGCAAATAATCCCAGAAACTGGATTATATGAAGGAAGAACGTGGCAACGGGATTGGAGGCAGATTCATAAACAACCTGTGATATGTTGAAATACAACTTTGCTTCTTGGAAGTGAATAGGACTTAATGTACTTACTAATGAAGACTAGAGCCTTCAGTATGGACTATATCTCAATGTAAGAAAACAAAAATCCTCACAACTGGACCAATAAATAACATGATAAATGGAGAAAAGATTTACATTGTCAAAGACTTCACTGTCCTTGGATCTATAATCAACATTCATGGACACATCTGTCAAGCAATTAAATCATGTATTGCATTATGCATATCTGCTGCAAAAGACCTCTTTAAAGCATTAAAGAACAAAGATACGAGTTTGAGAACTAAGGTGCACTTTACTCATCACCTCATCTGCATGTGAAAGTTGAACAATGAATAAGGAAGACCAGAGAAGAAGCCATGCATTTGCATTCTGGTACTGGAGAAGAATATTAAAAGTACCATGGACTGACAGAAAAACAAACTAATGTGTCTTAGAAGTGTCGACAGTTTGCTCTTTAGACGTGAGGATGGTGAGACTTCATTTTCCTATTTTGGACAAGTTATCGGGAAGAAATCTGTTCTTACTGAAAAACATCATGTTTGGTAAAGTGGATGGTCAGAAAAAAAGAGGAAGACTCCCCAAGGATATGAATTTACACAGTGACAGCAACAACGAACTAAAATGTAACAACAATTGTGAAGATAACACAGAACTGGGCAGTGTTTCCTTCTGTTGTACATAGGGTCACTATGAGTCAGAACCGACTGGACCCAGCAACAAGAAGAAGCTACAGTTATATTTTCAATTTCCAACAATATAAATCCTGATTTGGCTTTTAATATATTCCTGAGATGCTTTCTTATTTTAGATTAAGCATATAATCCTCAGAGCCCTGGTGAGGGGCTATAGGATAAGAAGAATTAGACTGCTAACGGAAAGGTCAGCGGTTCAAACCCGCCAGCCACTTCTCAGAAATTCTATACAGGGTCTGTGAGTTGGCATGAACTCAATGGCACTTAACAACAACAGTATTATCATAGGATATTAGATGTATGATACAAGGAAGTTATTTAATAAATTTAATTTGCTGCATTATAAAATCCAATTAATTTGTAAATACTAATTAACACTAAATAAGGCACAGTCATTGAGTTAAAAATTTCTAATTTTATTGATTGTTGTTGTTGGTATTAAGCACTGTCGAGTTGGTTCCAACTCATAGTGACCCTATATAAATAGGGTTTCCAAGGAGTAGCTGGTGGGTTTGAAGTACTGATCTTGTGGTTCGCAGTCCAGTGCTGATCCCACAACGCCACAACTATTGATTTAAGACTACCTAAACAGGGCATATTCGTTGAGCATATCTTTTTTTACAGGCTGTAGTTTTCTCAAAGAGAAGAGTAATACGAGTTTCTTACAAACATATCAAAATTTAAAATTTATGAATAGTTAAAGATGGCTGTTATGTTTTCTCTTTAAAAAGGGGAAAAGTCATATTGTATTCATTTTCAGTAGTGAATTGACTGAAATTCATTTATGGTTTTAAAATCCCGCATCCTGCTAATTTTCTGAGCTTTTACCCAAATGAAAGAAGACCTTTAAGAAACCTAATTCTTTGACACAGCCCTCTTCAGCAGGTCCTATCAGCCCACACGAAAATGGACATTTCATTCAGAATGACACCTGATTGCATACTGTTAACAGACAAAAGGAAATCAGAATCGTAGCAGAGTTGCAAAATTGTGTTGGCTCGGTTTCTGGGGAACTTATGATAGGGTTACTTCACTCTATCTCCTGTCATATGTGATTAGGCCACTGATGTTAATCATTTAATTTGTCTGTGTGGACACATTTGTTTCTTATTAAAATTATTCTTAAGAAGTTGCCATAGAATTACATACTTTCTAAATGCAACACATCAGACAGTATCAAAACTGGTTTCAAAAATCAAGTTTTGAAATAATTTTCCCTGCCAGCTAGCCAATTCTTAATCCCTAATGATTGACAACAATGTACAAGGAGAAGTTACAATCATATTTTAACCAACTTCCTACTTTAGTTAATGATTCTAACAATCTACGTAGGCACTGCTAATAACAGAAAAATGAATTAATATGAAATGTGTGATCTTCGTTTTTTCCCTCTAATGGGAATAGTGAGTAATTAAATGGCTTATAACAGAGGAAAGAGTTTAAAGGAGAAGATTGAGAAATTTGAAATCACAATGCTTTATGGTAAAAATCTTCTTTAAAACTGTGATTTTATTCTTCAGGTCCTAAAACCTAAGGACAATATGAACCCCACCTCAACCCCAATATTATAAATTGTTAAACACATTTGCCAGCACTTAGAAATCCCCATAATCGATTAGTGTAAACTATAGTCCAGAATCAATTAATTTGAGATTGCATTTCAAAAAGAAATAAAGAGGGGTGGGGTGGGAGAAGAGGAATAAAATAGTCAAACAACTAAAATTTGAACATATATTTTCTGTAAAGCTAGTTACAAACAAACACTATAGCTCATGTAACTTTGAGGTGTAAGTGTAGGGTTGGAAATAATGAAAATGTTACCTTTGCCAAGTAATTCCCAATGTATCCTCACTGGTACTGGGGTATAAATGCCTGCCGTTTTGATTCATGGTCCAGTCACAAATCCTCAGCTGTCAATTGAAACCTAGCAGTCAGATATGGATCGAGCAGTTCTACAGTTTTTAGTATTTAAATGAACACATGCAAACTAGTACTGTACATGGCATTAACCTTACTTTCCCAAGAGGCAACATAAAGAAAAAAAAAATCATAAGCAAAAGAAAATCTTATTCTGAGAAGCAATATTCCTTCAGATTCTTTTTAAGGAAAGAAAACAAAAAACTATTTCAATATGCTTCTCTATTAATTAAAGCATACAAGAGAAATGAGTGCTTAGAACATAACAATTAGCCATTATTAGAGTACAAATTGAGCTGAAATAAAAGCAAACGTTAATGTTCAATAGTGATAAATATTTTAGAAAGAAAATAAAAATGCTTTCCCCCCCCCTATGCAACATACCAAATAATCTACTCTGAGGTAAATTAATCAATAACTTTAAGCATGCAGTTTGCAAAACATAGAAGACATGCAGTTTAGAGGAGAAACGCCCCACCCTACAACCATCCTCCCTGTCTTGTGTAGAGAAGTCTCAAGTAATTAACAGTTTGTAGATGCTTACTAATTTGCTTTACTCACAGTGGCATTGAATAGGATGAGTTGGTAAGGATTTCTACTCTTATTTTGAATTGAGTAATGGCATTTAAAATACTTTATTACATCTGAATAGAGTAAGGAATGCACTGAATACAAGCTGAAACAAATTCTTCCCAGATCTCCACATCATCTGCTCTGCCCTTCAGAGATTGTTCCAGTAACTCTATCCAGTTCTGTTTGGTTAACAGCTGCCTTACAGTGCTAGCAGATTTATTGAAAAGATATATTGCTTATTTTTATGCTTAAGAAAGTAAACTTCTTTGGGTTTCAGGGGAGAAACATACTAGAAAATTACAGTTTTTTAACCTTTAGATTGCCATGCTGCAAATGAACTTTGTCTTGCATGAAGTAACATCTGTCACTGAAAAGATGCCTTCCCACTGCTGCACCCTAAGTATTTCTTGCTACTTTCCAGGGAGATTACTTAGAAGATGGCGGTTGGAGCCAAGGTGCCTTTAAAGTTGGATATGTTATTTAATCCCTCGTATACTGATAAACTTTTAAAGATTCACTACTAAGGATGGACTTTTCCTTTCCAACTTCTGCAGGTCTGTTTCTGCACACTCCATGTAACCATGTTTTCAGGGCTTTAGGGAGATAGAACTTGCTCGATTACCTACAGATCTATGGCATCCCAAAAACACCACCTGAGATTTCAAGAATATTGTTTTAATTTGACTGATATTTCTGGTAAAAATCATTTTATAATTGAAAGAACTAAAAAAAAAAAAAAAACCCTTTCATGTATATAGACAGATTGGTAGATAGATAAAGTGATAAAGATTCAACTCAGAAGGTATCTCATAAGAAAGCCATAAATCAGTAAATATATCAAATAAGAATTTTTTTTTTCTTAAAATGGATCACAATGCTTGTGTAAAGGATAAATGTATACTTGATTAATTTTAGATCAAACAGATGACATAGATTATTTTAATGAAGTACATTTGCTGAGAGACTAAAGAGACAATATGGCAGGACTTTTTGAAAGTTTTCAAAATGGATAGCCTAGTCAGAAGTTTAATGTGGTAGGCTAATCTTAAAAAAAAATAAAATAAAATAACAACAATAAAAAAATTAAATAGCAACAAAGTAAACCAGTTGTCTCTCTTAAAATAAGAAGAAAAAATACGTTGGACTATAAAAATAATTTTAAAAACATTTCAAGAAACCTTATTGTCTATAAAAACTACTTTTTTGTTTGCTGTTGTTGTTGTTGTTGGTGGTTATGTGCCACACAGTCGGTTCCAACACATAGCGACCCTGTACAGAGTTTCCGAGGCTGTAAATCTTTAAGGGAGCAGAAAGCTCCTCATCTTTTTCCCCTGGAAAAACTGGTAGTTTCGAACTGCTAACTTTGAGGTTCGCAGCCCGATTCGTAACCACTACATTGCTGTTAAGTAGAGTCAAATCAGTTCTGACTTATATTCACGCTGTATAGGATTCTAAGGGGCAACTGGTGGACTTGAACCACCAATCTTACAGTTAGCTGCCTAGTGCTTATCCTACACTGCCACACCAGGACTAGGGACCATTTACTGATTCTGACCTTGTCAATGAAAATCGTATTTCTGAAGCAATTAAAAATAATTCCCAAGAAGGGAGGAGTATGTTTAAGGCATAGTGGTGGTGGCATAGTGGTGGAGGTGGTATACGGTGGATCTAGCTCCAGATCATAGCAAGCCTGTACAGGGTTTCCAGAGTTGTAAATCTTTATGGGACCAGAAAGCCTCTTCTTTCTACCTCGGAGTGACTGTTGTTGTTGTTGTTGTTAAGTGCTGTTGAGTCGGTTCCGACCCATAGCGACCCTGTACAGGGTTTCTGAGGGTGTAAATCTTTACGGGAGTAGAAAGCCTCACCTTTCTCCCGCGAAGCTGCTGGTAGTTTCGAACTGCTGACCTTAAGGTTCGCAGCCCAATTCATAACCACTACGCTACCAGAGCTCGGAGTGACTAGAAGATTCAAATTGCTGACCTTGTGGTTAGCAGCTCAATATGTAAATAGTTAAGGGATGTCGTTGTTAAGTGCCATCAAGTCGGTTCAACTCCATAGGGTTTCCAAGGAGCAGTTGATGGGTTTGAACCACCAGTTAGCAGTCCAGTGCTTACCCTACAGTGCCACAACAAGACTCCATTTAAGGCATTGTTGTTAAGTGCCGTTCAACACTGCACAGAGTTTCCAAGGAGTGGTTGGTAAGCTTGAACTTCACACCTTGCAGTTCAAACCGACCTTTCAGTCCAGTGAATTAACCCACAGTGCCACAGCAGTTGTTAATTCTGTTAGGATCAACTTTGGGTTAGTGTTCACAGGGCTCTCAGCTTAGATTTTTAGAATTTTTCACACAGAAAATATACTTTCATGAAGTAAATATATTTTCAAGTGAAGCTAAGTATCACTCAGTGATTGGCTTTGTAAACAGACAACTGCAAAATATAAATTCTTCTTGATTAGCTGCATGTGTTAACTGGTTAGTATTGTGTGGGTTTGTTTAATTTTTACCACCTTCCCAAATGGGCTATCTTTGATCATAAGCTGAACACTTAAGATCAAAATAATGGGGAGGTTTTTTGTATTTGTTTTTTCCATTTTTCTAGTATAAAAGTAGTTTCAAAGAAGTTAAACTAAATTACAACTATTAAGTTTCAGCTGCATTTAAGATAAATGCAAGCAAATATTTTTCCACCAAAACAAAAAACTATGCTTCAATACATACGTAATCATCACCGAATATAGTGATTTAACATCAATAATTTAATATCAGAGCAGAGAAATTGGTAGGATACTTGTAAGTACTGAATTAATTTCCTTACAATTACTAAAAATATAAGATATTCTGTTAGTCCTGGTTATTTATTTAGAATGTGGACAAGTATCATCAAATGTCTGAGGATGATATGCTGATACAAGCTTGTAATAGAGCTTGTTTTAGTTGGGTTACTTGTCAAATGTTTCTCTTCATGTAGTATTTTAAAATTAATAAACCTTTTGATAAGTGATGATGTGGGTGAGGATCAGGGTGCCATTGAGTTGGTTCTGATTCATAGTGACCCTGTAGAGGGTTTCCGAGGTTATAAATCTGTAAGGGAGCAGAAATCCTCATTATCCTCCTGCTGAGTGGCTAGTGAGTTTAAACTGTCGACCTTGTGGGTAGCAGTCTAATGCTTATCCTGTAGTGCCACCAGGAGAAAACAGCTTTTCACCAGATTCCATGATAGGGATCCCCAAGAATAACAATTTCTAGGAATCCTGTTTGACCAAGAAAGTCTTATTATTGCTGTTGCTAAGTGCTGTCTAGTCAGTTTTGACTCATATGGACCTGTATAAGGGTTCTGAGAAGTAGCTGGTGGGTTTGAACTGCCAACCCTACAGCTAGCAGTCCAGTGTTCTAAACCACCACGCCAACACTCTACGATAGCCCTGACTCAGTGAAATGCCAACACAGGCTAGCTGATGAAAGCCAACAATCAGTTAAGATTCTTTTGGGAAATGTTACGTTTTCTTAATATTAGTATAATTCAGTGTTCCTAATAAAAATCATTTTTACATTATATAATCGGTCTTATCACTTTTGTTTCTGTCCTGTAAGAGCCAGGCTTTGATAATTCAAGTGTCAATTAACTTTTCTTTTCAAGTCCAATCTAAAAATGGTGTTTATTTTAATGATACATAGATACATACTTTTATTTATGTTTTTTTTAAATGTCCTAACTGCAAAGTTTCAATGACACTGAAATGATCTCCCCAAATATTTTTCTGTACAAAAGGAAATTATTTTTCCTCCCTACAGTAACCAAATTTAAAACACCAAATACAAGTTAATTAAGACAATTAAGTTACTGGAGGTAAGGAGCAATACTTTATTTTTGTAACAATAAGGGGTAAGTCAAAAAGTATCACTATAAAATCATAGCAACTATTGATTAACAAAAATACATAATGTGAAATTGTTACTTGTCAACATATTTTCCAACTAGGTCTCTACACTACTGAAAGCAATGTTTCCATCTCTGACTTTCCCCCAAATAATTCTGTGTTCTTCCATTTCCACCACATCAAAATGGCATCCTCAATGAACTAAAATTTTTCTCCTTTTAAATGTTTTTTACACTGGCCCTGAAGGGACAAGATCAGGGCTATAGAGTGGGTAGTATAAGATTTGCCAACAAAATTCTCATAGGACAGCCTCACTACCTGCAAAGTATGACTAGTTATGTTATCGTGATGGAAACAAAGCAATCTCTGGACAACTTTGGGGACATTTTTTCACCAACACTGTTTTCAATTTTCTGAAATTAAAATAGACAGCAGTGATTGTCTTATGTCTTTTGAGAAAATCTATTAAGATTGCCCCTTTGGGAGTCCCAAAAAACACAGTTGCCAAAACCTTCTGAGCTGACCTCTTTGCCTTGAATTT